CACAAAAGCGTGCTGGGCTGCTGCAATGCTCGCGGGCTGGAGGTAGGCTGCTCGCGGGCCGCGCGGGCCGAGGGATGTGAGAGCGTGCGAGCTTCTCGGGCTGAGATGCGGGCCGAACAGCCCGCGCACTTTTCCTTTCCTCTGCTGGTAACAAAAATAAGATTGGTCGCGGGATGAAGATTCGAACACGCGACATATCACACGGAACTGATGGCCTATACCACTGCACCACGCTCGATGGTTGTGACAATCGAACCTGGACGCGAGATAAAGAACCTGAGCGCGGACTGAACACGTGAACTGGGCTCGTGCGCGAACTGAAAACCTGGGCGCGAATTGCGTGCGGGAATTGGAATCGTGCGCGTACAGTAAAATCTGACCGGAAAATAATATATCATACAGAATACGAATCAACAACCTTCGAATCTTCTATTATATGACCTTTACACGATTTCTAATAAATTTTGGTAGAGCGATTTATTAGATTTCCCAAAACCTTTTGATCATCTTCTTCTAAGACCTTACGGTGCTAACTGAATTTTCCCTCGAAGAAGAATATCTCTCTTTCTTTCTCGCTTGAAGAGGCCGAATTTCTCCAGCCCTTCGGGGAGAAAAACGTGTAAAGTTATGCCAAGAGGTTAGGGTACCTAGTGTATTTATAGGCTACAATAGGGACCTAAAGGAGGTGCTAAATATGGGCTTATTCCGTAGGAATCCTTATTATCTTCCATCTCCTTTTCTCATAATATTCCTAATAATTAATTACCTTCTAGAAGACTCCATAGTCTCCTAACCATAGGTAATATTCTAGAAGAAATATTCTCATCCTTAGGGAATTATGGAATATAATTAATTCCTAATTCCTAATCTTGAAATTAAATAATATAACATTCCACTAGAGTAATATTATTGCTCTCCCCATTTAGCTTCGAATTACAATTAATTCGTTTCCACTGATTAAATATATTAATCTAATTGATCGATTTATCTCCCGATGTTTAAGATATAACGTAAGTTGATTAATTAAATTACTGACAAAATAATTAATCAACTTCTTATTCATTTCCGAAACTAGTGCCACTCGGATCCTTAATCATTATGCCGGATAACACATCCGCCTGCAAGGCTTGACATAATATTCATTCATGAGCTCATTTCGAGGACGTCATCAACCCAGCGCACTGGGACACAGTGACAGTAAAAAATTTATAAAGGCACATCATATAAACACACTTATTTACCAAAATATCGATTATGTCATCCTAACAAAATAGGAATCACCCTTGATAAATCAAATAAACAAGTAATGAATACATATACCCATTTTATATTATCTTACAACTTAAGAGTACACATCAATTACTGAAGGTCTAGATTACAACAACGGTCAGTGAGTCTCATAATCTTATCCTTCTGTGGTCCTGTTCAACACCTATCATAAGTGCTAGTGTAATTCTCCAGTCAAAAACCAACTGAATCAAAAATACACTACAGTCTTTTTCCAAGAGGGGTCTCACTTCCTGTCTAGACTGTGAACGAATAGTTTAGCCTTACAAGGAACCGATAGGTGATCTTTCCGTTCGAAACACTTCGAACCACACTATCTCAATGTAAGACAAGGAGTATAATTGCAT